GATGTTAACCAACGTTTCAGAGGTCATACTGCCTCCGTCTTCAGGGCGATGAATCTACCAGACTACACAGCGCAACAACCCAGAAGACAGAAATCTTCTTTTTCTTATTATTTCCATCAACAGCCACAACTTAAAATATCCATAACTCCTCAGTATCTGAGAAGTGGCAAAGTGTTTGCTCTTTTTTAAAGTTTTAATAATGACTTTTCCTGCCGTCAGTTACGGAAGTATCGGCTTTATATTTTGGAGTAGTCTGTTTACCTTATTCAAGAAGCTAAACATTTTGAATAGTGCTGGAGTCTCTTGTTGGGCCAGTTTCATTACTAAGACGTTATTTTCTGATTTAAATTGCAATTAACAATTAAATATCCGAATGATTAGCTTAATATGTCATAAGATGGCAGGACAGGTTCCATATTTTTGTTGTCATACGCCATACATACTTATCTTCCCCATTATCCCCAAAATACGTTCCGTATTAGAAATGAGACTGGCAAATGTTGGATACTATATGTTAGAATCCTATTCGAGACCAGTCTGATGCTGCCAGTTGATACATAGTGTGCACAACCCTGCTCAAACCACTTTTGCCTGTCCTCCGTTGTAGACAGTTAAACGTACTGTTAATCTGCATCAAGTGACAACATTAAAATGTGTTGGGCCTGCAGCCATTAAGTTTTACGGTGCTGCCTTTATTGATATAAGTACAGTTTTCATTTTTCTGACAGATCGACAATCAGTTCCAAGTTTCATCGAGTTTTACAACAGTTTTATGTTAATAAATGATTTATTCTCCTTAAGTGAAACCAAGTGGGCTCTTTCACTTGGTAAAGATGATTTGTCCACTCAATAGTGATCCAATGTCGTGTAATGGAGGGAGTGTTTTTTCTTTGAGGTTTCGGATTGCTACAGACTTATAAAACTCTTTTTTTAAGATTCGTGTAATACACTGAGTTTAATTACTGTCGCTGTTGATGACGTTGCAACCTCAGTTATGTGTTCTTTTCAAGGATAACCAAGCATTGAGTGTGAGATTCGTTTCTTTGTATTCGTTTATATGATCCCTACCATTTTTTCTACGATGATTATATGTTTATAAGAGAGATATTGAGCTGTTTAATGGTGTTCATTCACAAGGGTAGGTACTGCTTATTAGTAACTGCTACTTATTTATTACAACTATTCTGGCTGACATCGAACTGGGTATCTCGACATTGCAATTCAGACGAGAACCCCTGTGTAAACTCTCGTCGTTGTTGCAAAATTCTCTACCGGTTTCAAATTTATATTCATCAGACGTGTACCTCTATACTAACCCATTCGGTCATCTTTTTCACGGCTTGGAAACCCGTACCAAGCTTTGATTGATGAATGAGAGATAAAATTTTGTAATCAAATTGCATTTCGGTGCTGGGATTGGTTTTGTGCAAGGAATTAAAGTTAGAAAGGATCATTGTAATACTTGTATGGTTCGGTCAGCTATTTCCCGTGATGATTGACAGTTCTCAGTGTTGTGTAACATAATTCACCGTCGTTTTGAACTGTGGTTGGTTGCGCCGCACGCATAATTAGGTCCTTAGCACCCGAAAGCCCTCCGCAACACATAAACCAGCTCATTACGTCGTTATTTACAACCCATGTTTTTCAGTACACACCATGTCTTTCACATTGTGGTTTCCGAATGTTTTGGTTCAATAAATTTCACCTTGGTTTTGCACCTCGTGGTTTTCTAAAGAGAGAACGTTAAAGGCCACAGTAATTTTCAACGTACTAAGCTCGACAGGATATAATGTTACCGTGGTCTTATATTCTGCATAAAAATGCTGAATATTTTCCCCGAGACATTTTCAGGAATTACTTAAGACTATTCTGTTGTATTATACTAACGTTTTCGTATACAGACCTTACATCGGACACGAACCTCAGTCAATTCCACTCTTTTTAGTTCTCACAACTAATTTCTGTAAGATCCTTTATAATACCGTCGTTCCATTTCCTCGGTCTTCTTAGCACTGTGAGAGGTTTCCTCATAAAATTGCTGTATGTATTTATTTTTTCCATTAAAAGTACATATTCGACTCATTGTAGCATCCATTATTTCACAGCCCGAGCCGCAATGTGATATACTGTATATGAATGACGATGATGGATGTAGCAAGGACCTTAGAGACGTCGGTAAACTTCTGGCACATTAGACGGCGCAACAACCTAGAAGACCAGCCATCTTCGTACGCACCGCCGTGAGAACCTAAATTTCTACATGTGTGACGAAGTTCACCGTTGTGTAAGCTTGCAGCCTGTACGAAGTTATCCGGTTGATACCTCCTAAATCGTAGAGCCCACTGGCCCGTTCTGTCCCCATTGGAATGGTCACTGTACTCTCCATCGTGCTTTGGGTTTTCCTACAGGTCTTATGCTTCCAGAAGAGTTTTTAACGACCTTTAGAATACGAAACTTCATTAACAGTGTAAATACTAGGAGATACTTTAAGTTATTACCGATACATGTAAGTTAGTGCAGTGCCAAGACACAAAAGACGTAGTTTTTAATATAATACCTTGCCACCAAGTTCAGATTCTGAAAACGAAGAATATGACACCATGTCTCATATAACGTAACTGCCATGGGGTAGTGCGTAATCGCTTTATGCATAAAAATGTAGCCCCAGATGGTTTCCCAGAGATTATACCGCCGTAGACACATCGCTTCATGCATTGTAACTTTCTTCATGTTGTTTCCTAGCAACCTACAGGTATACAGGACGGAAAACTTGGCAAACAGAATGAGTTTATATTAAAGGAGAAGATATGAATCTTTGTAGTTATCTTCCGGTAAAGAATGGCTGGTTAATAAAAATTATGAACTTCTCATCTTCACATAAAAATTTCGTGTTTCTTTATGAAGTAAGCCGGTATTATCGATAGTTGCCACCGCCTTTGCATACAAAAGCTGAAAACATAGTTCGGTTTCTTCTACTGTTCGCGACTGTAATCTTGAGACTTGCGGGGCGAGGAAGTGGGGTGAAGGAGGAAAGACAGGGTCTGCCTTTACCGCTAAGGACTTCCTGAATTCCTTGCAAGTCTCAAGATTACAGTCGCGGACAGTAGGCTTCCTTCAAGAGATGGTGCTACAAGCTTTAATGTCTGCATAAATGCTATTCCCATTAGTTTTTACTTTGAACAACGTGTTCTAAGCGGAAACATGGGTATGATTCCAAAAGATTCCGTTAAAAACAGGTTTTATTCCGCTTTAAATTAATATATTTTTGAAACGTTAGGAATAATTCGCTGTAAGCGTAATAACAAATCGTGAATGCTGAAAATTGTATCGTCACCATTCGATTTCAGAATAATGCAGTGTTGAATGCGTTATGTTTTGTTATTTCTTTCTGGTGGCGACAGAACATAAGTCAAAGTGTAAGCATGACGCGAAAATTCTTTGTGTACGTTAGACTTTGACTTTCGAAGTTTGCTTGTGGCGCCATTGATGTCATTTTTCTGGAATTGTTGACGTTTGAGTTTGGGAGTATCTGTCTGGATGATGTCATCGTGGAGGATTCCCCATCGGTTGAAGTTTCCATTGCGGAGAATCTCCAGGTAACTGTGTTGACCAATGCAACCTGGGGATTTCCCAGCTATTGAATTACTTTCGCAGGTGTAAAATATCCGTTAGTTGTGTCCGATCTTAACCAAGATTGAATGTGTCGACATGCTTTATTAAAATTTTCAGTGACAGATTTGATAAAAATCCTTTCAGCAATCGTCGAGTTATTCCATGGTGACATTTGGGTTGAAGCTAATAATTTCGGATTTGCAAAGTTTAGTCGCTAACATGCCCTTCAGCTGACTTCAAGTTTCTTGTAGTAAAACGTCTGCGTTCTCTGTTCCAGTAATACGATGAACAACCCCGTGAACAACATGACCAACAACACCAGTGGCACTGGCGGCGTCAATAACTCTGAACAACCCGACCCAGACTTCATCAAGATGTTCGTGGGTCAGATCCCGCGGTCCATGGACGAGAACGACCTTCGTAAGATGTTCGAGGAGTTTGGCCGTGTGCACCAGATTAACGTTCTGAGGGACAAGGTTACAGGCCAGAGTAAAGGTAGGACCCAAGTAACATATATCTGATCGTTTAGTCCTGTCTCTCAGTGTTTCCAACAGAACGCATTTATTTATCCATAAATTTTGAACAAAATGTGTCAGTTGATGAAATACTCTCGGGATACAGGCCCCGTCAGGATGGCTGAACGGTGAACAAACCATATCTTCTGCCACAGTTTGTAGAACCATCTCTTTTTCCATCAGTTAGAGCACAACAAACGAAAGGACTGGTTACCCAGCAACCCTGATGATGAGAACAGATAGTTCTGGAAACGTTGGCAGAAGATTTGGTTTGTTCACCGTTCAGCCATCTCGACGTGGCTTGTACCCCGAGAGTATTTCATCAACTTCAGTCGCCGCGAAACCTTTCCTATGCCACACATAATTACCTTTTCTTGTATATATTCTTTTGGCATTAGTTCTATGTTAGATCAAGGGATATCCCAAATTTTCACACTAAACATGGACTGCCTGAGTGTGGTATGGTAAATCGCCGCCTCTAACCATCTAAAATGAAGATAGATCACTGATTGTAAGAGCAGGTGCCCTCGATTTCCGAGTGGTGAAGTCTGCGCATATGTAGACTGACCGCCATAGTACAACAGGCACCGTGTTTCATATCTTAACGTGATCAGTTGACCTGTCCGAGGGGTCATGCAGTACACGCGCACAGCTGAACTTAGCATAAATTGCCGTGAAAGGGAGAACCTGGCGGTAAACGAACCGTGAAGTGATGAAGTACCGTCAGACCATCTCATGCACCCACAGAAATAATGCGTGCGATGATAATGCTACAAGCACACGGGGAATTCCCTTGGAGGCAATTGTGCAAAGTGCTTGGACTTTTATGCGTCGACAGAAGAGCTTTTCGACCAGTCTCCTGTGATTCCGTACGTGATTTTTGCTGCCTCGTAAATTATGTAAGAAGGCATCTATCTATCCCTACCCGTATAAATATCCCGTCTGGATTTAGTTACACATAGGAGGATTTTAGTACATTTGTTCTGGATGTCTTCCCTGTTCTAAAGAAAGGAGTATATTACAATTGTAAAGAAAATTTATTCTGTTTGTTCTGTTTTATATCGGCTAGAAACAAAATAATAGCTACTTACTTTCACTGGATACAAAGAAGAAAGAGGGGATAAATTAAAGCAAAGAAGAAAGAAAAGAAATTTGGGTACAGCGAAGGAGATAAATGTTTAGGTAAAGACAGCTGTCTTCTGGGTTGTTTCTCCGTGTAGGAAATGTTCTTACCTCGTTCCTTGTTAGCGCCATCTGACCTATCCTCATTAAGATGACTGCTGTCAGCATCTATAATATTATTTTTCTTTATATATGCCTTATCTTCGATATGATCTTTAACTTAAGTGTTCTCTCTAAAATTTCTATGTGTGTCTCACAGTCTAAGGCTAAGTTTTTTATAGTCAGGAAGATTAAAACTTGTTCCTTCTTTATCCGGATGATCCAGGAAGACACAGAAGACAGAAATCTTCATTTTTTTATTAGGTTTTCACAGGTGGTGTTGCTGCATGGAGTCAGTGGCAAAGATAATATCGGCCCTACTGGAAGTCGAACTCTGACCGTCCTTTTGGAATTAAATCGGCGGAGTTGTTGTTAACTTGCTCCTCTCGGCGTTGCCTGTTCCAGGGTCGCTGAGCCCTGTTAGGTTATAGAACTGTTCTGTTGGAGTAATTACCCATTCCGTCACGAGTTGTTAGGGGTTTGCAAGGGCCTTACCCGGGCCTGGTAGCACAGATAATATTGGAGGCCCGGCCGATTTCGGTCCTGGTTAAAGTGGTTGCAATCGAACATAAAATAAAACATTTCGGGCTTTCTCCGGGGGGTGACATACAAGCTCTGGAAACAGATATCACCGACTGATATTATCCGGGTTTTTTGTAGTTGCACCTACCAGAAACTGTTACAGGTATCACATAAGAAACTTGACATTCAATGTATTTTTATCTTTGCTTAACGCCAAAATAATCTCAGATGTTCTCAGAACGTCTTTAAATAATTCATTCAAAGATTACTGTTATGTATGCTTTAAAACATATATTAATAATAACGATAATCAGATTGTAAATATATCGGTCTTTATTCGCGCTGGGATAAAATTAAATCGGGTGTATGTGGGGTACGGACAAAATATTTTGAGATAAACTTCGGGTTTAGGCTTAACCAGTTGAAATGGTCCTCGTGACGGGTAAAATTATAAAATGTCGGCCCGTGCAGACCTCTACAAGATATGTCATACCCGCACGTGCTACATACACAGCTCATCTTATAAATAGAAACAAACGAGTGTTGGCCATAATTGCAATGCGTAGAGTATGATTGAAGGAGGGAAAGTTGAGGGTTCAAGGTTGGCGAAGCTAATGACGAAATGTCTGGTACTGCTGATGGTAATCGGTGTGTGTTGAAATTGAATACACTCACATGTATATTAGGTATGAGGGTGGTTGTGAAATAGATATTTCACCACGTTTATTCTCCTGTATTTTTCACACAGAATTCTCATCACTTTTCTCTTAAACGAAACTGTGTATTTTTGCTGGCGTATTGAATTATCCCTTTTAATATGCTGAGTTGGCTTTTTGGATGAATGGAGTTGCGTTATTTAACACAGCTACTTAGTTTTTAAAAAGCTTTTAATTTCCTAGCCGTATTTTCTAAAAATTGGTGTTTTAATATATTTATGACGTATTTCAAACCTTGTTAATCGACTGAGAGCAAGCACTTAAAAAGTAAATTGACTTTTATGTACATCTTTCCTCGACGAGAAATCTCGTGTATTTGTGCATTGTAGCATAATGTGGTTGCATGAGTGTCGATATTTCGACTAACTAAGAGCAGGAGTTTCAGGTTTTTTCATAAAACGTTTGAATTTGTAGAGGAACTATAAATACGTAGAGGAACTTATGTTCGCGTGAGAAGCAGACGTTATGAACGAAACAAGTTCGATGCCACGAACAAAATTGATGGCTCAGGAACTGTACCCACTTCTGATCAAAATAACGTTTGTGTGTAATAATTTCATCTAAAAAAGTGCGTCCCCCAGAATTAACTAACGTTGTTAATTCAAATTATCCGTTGAGTTTCTTCTGTTCAATGATTTTGTCAGTTTTTGTTGATATTACGCGCACACAAACCAAGACATGTTTGCTACAAGCCTACAAAATCTAGCACTGAAGAAGTTAGTTCGCCCGTGTGTATGCAGAATAGCTAACCGGAAAAAGACAAATTCATTTTGATTTAATTAACTTGTCATGGTGGTCTAGCGGTTAGAACGCTGGCCTTGTAATCCTGGGGTCTAGGGTTCGATTCCCGGCGGTACCCGAATTTATAACTTGTGTTAGGCAAGGCCGTGGTCTAGGCAACACGGAGTTTTCCTCCGGGGGCTTCCCCGGTTCCTCCGTGGCATCCCAACAATTACTCCATTCACACACAGAAGAAGGCAATGGCAAACCACTTCTGGATCATCTGCGAAGAACGTATATGAACAGGTCCCAGTCCGAGAAAAGGATGGAAAGATCCTGTTCATATGGACCTGTCGTCAGACAGAACACTTTAAAAAATAAAGAAAATGTTATATCGTCAGTTGGCCTGTGTAATTGAAACTTTTCAAGTTTCCTGTTAAGGGCTGTGGTAAAATACACTACTGGGACATGAGAATTGAGTGATAGATAAAGGTCAGACTAATATAAGCGGCATAAATGAGACGTTAAACTAATTCTGATGAGGACAGGAAGGACGCTTGATGTGAAAAATTACGAGGCGTTTTGAAAAATTCTGATAAGACCGAAAACGTTTTTATCTGACTTTGAACTGTGCTAATCGTAATGATTATAGGAATATGCGTACCTAAGCGTCGATTTTCTCGTACTTTGTTTAGTAATTTACGGGATGTCGTCTCTGAAATAAATGATCGGTCATGTAGTGTCGAATTGAAGGGACGAATATGATAGCGGCATTTGCCAGTTCATATTACCACCCTGGACGTTTCTTGGACGATCTGAGAAGAGCTCTAAATATGATGAAAGAATGTATTATTTTATCTTTCCAATCTTACTTATAACTATATGGGCATACAATTTTCTTAACTTTTTTTTCAGGTTACAAGTAATTATTTGAAATTAATTTTGTCTTTGAAAATTTTGTTAATATTTATAGTTACAGAATATGCTTAATATGACTTCAAAAACTTTGTTAATAGTCGCGAGGTCAGATTAGGCATACATTTCTTTTGAAAGATCTTGTTAATAATTATTGGGCCAGGTGAAGGTTAATGCCCTTTTTCCTTAACCTTAATAATTATAGAGTAAGATTTAAAAATCATGTTAATAGGTAAAGGGACGAATGTATTTATTATATGGTCTGTATATTTGCTCGAAAAATCTTGTTCATCATATAAACAGATATGTTAATAGATAAAGGGACGAATGTATTTATTATACGGTCTGTATATTTGCTAGAAAAATCTTGTTCATCATATAAACAGATGAAGCATAACACATTTTTTATATTAAAAATTGTGTTCATGATTTTGGAAACAGATTAAGTAGGCATGATTTATTTTTTCTGTAAGAATCATTGCACCTGTTAATTCGCCGATGGTAGAGCAAAGACATAGACCGGTGCCATGTAAGTTAGGAAACAAACAGAAACTGTGTCTTCTTTAAACAGTGGTTCCGGTGTCGATTTTTAAAAAAGCTTATTAAATTATTATTAAGATGAAGCGGGTGATTACGTTACGCGATCTAGACACGAAGTTAAAGTCGTAGTGCTATTTTGTAAATTACAGATCTTCGCGCCAAAGCATAAATAATTTTTCAGTCGTAATATTTGAACATATAACATGTATCTTTAGAACTGCTTACTAATGTACCAGGAGGAAACCAAATTTTTCCATAGAGCTTCTCGGAACATTATATACATTTTTGTTTGGAAGCCGTGGTGGTACCTTAAATATGTGTGGCCAATCGCTGTGAACTTCACTTG